TAAAACACTGTATAGGTCAGTGATTAAAGATATACCAAGGGAAACTAGTATAAAGAGTATAAAGAGTATAAAATAGTATAAAGAGATAATATTCCTTGTTTGTAGTGCATTTTACTAAATTGGGAATGAAAGTTGAAGGTAGAATGATTTGGAAGAAATAAGATTCATCCAGAGTTTGTTTCCTTCAACACTTTTTTGTCCCTTTTTACCAGATTTTCAATAAAATGTGCATTGAGAAGGGAGAACAGAATCTCATGCATAGAAATATGCAGAGGCCTGTAAGAATTGGGCACCAAATTTTTCATGTACCTCTACTCTAAACCAAAAGTTAGGTCCTATGCAAAGACATAAGCCCAATAGATGTATTATACTGTGGGATAGAACTGATTAAAATTAGATGAGATTCTTTATATTGTGTTGCTAAATTAGGCTAGCCAATCATGTCCTTTAAGAGGATAACCAATCAGTGAATAACTGTTTAATTTTATAAACAAAGGTGGTTGAACTTACAAGAAAAATAGTGGCATAGAACGACTATTCCTCATATTTAGAAAACAAATTACATATTCACCATTATAAGTAAAATTTGGTAAACTAGGAAAGTGTTAAAAATATATATGTTTTATCTTGTGCTTTTTATGATATTATTTTAAATCGTTGGTTTTTGTCTTAGTTCTATTAGGCTGCTACAACTAAAGACCCATAACCTGAGTAACTTACAAACATCAAAAATTTATTTAACACAGTTCTAGAGGCTAGAAAGCCCAAGATTAATGTGCCAGAGATTGATGTATGTTTTCTGATGGTGACTTCTGGCTGGTCCTTTTATGGCTGAAGGAGGGAGGCAGCTTTCTACGGTCTCTTCAGAGGGTGTTTATCCTGTTCATTAGAGCTCTGCACTTATGTTTGATTAGGGTTTTAACATGTGAATTTTAGGGGGACATGAACATTCAAACCATGGTAATTGTCAAAATACTAAAAATGTTTTTGCAAGCCTCCCACACACATAAGGGAAGAAAGTATCTGTTCTGTAAAATTTGCTTTTTAAAGTAAATATGACTTTCATTCTTGTTCATTTTTCATATATATGTATATATGTGTATGTATATATGTATCTTTTTTCTCAGATGGCTTGTTTTATGTGATAGAGTATGATATCTGAGTTTGAGTTCCAGTTCGAAGGTAGGAGCTTACCTCTGTGTATAACTTAGGTTTTTCTGAATCTCTTTTTTTTGTTATTGTTGCTGTTTCCCATTCTGGAAAGGTAAGTGTTAGTTTTACTTACCTCATGGTTTTGAGATGATCAGGAAAGATCATATTCATGAAACTACATTGTAAATGGTAAAGCATGTATACAAATAGTAGTGCTTATTATTTTTCAAGATCTATCTTTGTCAACTTCTCTGTGAAATTCCAAATTTTTCTACTCAGGATTTAGAACTAATTACTAATTTTTGATGCTCAGATTTAGGACATTTAGGGTGTTTCCTTTTTTAGCTTTAGGCATGTAAACAATTTCTTAACAATTCTTGACATTCCTTAAGATCAAGAAGTGTACTTTACCACTGCTAAGTCCTACCACATGAACAGTATTTATTGAAATAAGTGGAAAAATTTAATTTATATGCAACCTGTCAGGCTTTATTTTTTTGGTAAATTTTTTTAGGGGGGCTACCGGGGATCAAACTCGCATCCTTATGAATCCCCAGCCCTGGTAAAAATTTTTTTATTGGATGGACCAAAAGCCACATAACAAGCAAAACTAGTTTATTTTATATTTAGTCAGCTTATTTTCATGATTTTTGATTATTGAAGAAAATGTTATTTACTAACAGTTTCCCTATGTACTTATTTTAAGACTTTTTACATAAACTGTTTTTATATATATATATGAAACCTTAAGATCTAACAAAACTGCAATTTATTAGCATAGTTGATTCTGTGTCACTTTGTGTAGAATTTTAACTTCTTTTACCATCTGTCCTTTATTCAACAGATGTATTACTGCATTTTTGAATGTATTCATCTATACCACCTTACAATTATTTAGAAATTAAGTACCATGATTTATTTTGTCCTTGTACTGAAGGTAATTGTTCTTTTATTAGTTAGAAATGAAAATAAAAATGCAGTAAATTATAGTTTTGGATTTTAAAAGGGTGAACTAAACTCTTTTGCATAGGTCATTGAATTGGAAAATCGGCTAAAGTCTTTTGAGAAAACATCAAAAAAAATAAAAGAAGGAAATAAACAATTAGTGAAAGAAAATGATTTCTTGAAAGCCCATTTAAAACAGCATCAAGAAGATGCAGAGAACAGAAAAAAAGAGCTAGAACAGCTAATAAAGAGGAGTAGAGATGCAGAAAAAGACAAAACTAAACTTGAAGTAAAAGTCAGTGAGCTGGAGAGAGAAGTCACTTCTCTAAGACAAATGGCAGAAGCCAGTGCATCCAGAAGTGAAAATGAAGAGCTGATGAATCCAGGGGAAAAATTAGAGCATTCCACAGAAAAAGCTAAATCTGAGATGGCCACCACAGAAGTGAGATCTGAAAAATGTGACTGTAAGACAGCCACTACCAAGGTTAGACTTAAAGCTGCCAAGAAAAAGTGCTCTCTGGGTCGTCACCACACTGTTCTTCTCAATCACTCCATCAAGGTTATGAGCAATGTGTTTGAGAACCTCACCAAGGACGGCTGGGAGGATGTGAGTGAAAGCAGGTAAGGCTCTCATTAACTTAGCTCTGTGGTGGGGACACTGTGCATATGGAAAGCACTGGCAAATGGAGATTGAATTTCAACTACTGTCGATTTGGTATTCAGAAAAAATACTGTCAGTTCCTTTGAAATATCTTGGGAGGTCTTGTTCTGAGCTTATTGACTGAAATTTGCATGCAAAATTAGCCACAACTGCATGAGTATTTGAATAGGTGCCAAGAAACCCAAAAGAAGGCAATGCTTGATTTCTTCCAGTGATGCTATTTTCATGCAGTCATGAGGCTTGAAATTGACAGTTTGGCAGGTTGATTTAATTTGCTGGCCCTTTGCATATTCACTGCTGACAGCTAAGGATTCCCAGGCAAGCCTCCTAAGTCGGTTTAGTTATCTTGTGACATGCCAACCTGGGAGGAGAAACATTTTTCCCCCTTAATTTAGTTAGATAAATTTTGAATGACCCATTTCAGCTTGTTACCAGATGTCTACAAGCTGTTTAACATCCTTTAAATTAAGAACCATCTTCACTAATTATTTCATGTATGTATTATGCAAAGTCATTGTACTAACTTTAATTGAATGGTGGTTAAAAATTACTTCTTTAAAGTTATAGAGATTTCTAGTCTCAAAAGTTATTTAATCCCTGGTGAGTAGCAACAAGAGAATACTAAAAATCTATAATATTTCTTTCTCTTACCCCTGGCTATACATTCATATACACACTTGAAATACAAAGGCGTATGAATGTTAGAACACCTCTTTTTTATACCTAGGCAGTTGGGAAGTTCATTGTTGCCAGAATTGTGTGCAAAATACCCAGTTTGTCAAAATTTTAAAAATTCCTCCTTGTGCTTGCTTCAGCAGCACATATACTAGAAGTTCCTCCTTATTTTGTAATGATACGTAATTTCTGTTTTCTTTTGTTTTTGTTTTGTTTGTAAATCCTTAACAGTGATTTTGTTTTCAATTTGGGAAGGTTATAGATAGTTTTCTCAGTCTGACATAGAACTGAAAATTATTTTAGAAACATAGTTCTCAAATTTGTATAGCGGTAGAACAGAAGAGACTTCAAATTGATGACCCAGACACTCAGGGAAAGCTCTCTAAGTTGTTTAGATTCGATGAACCGTGCACAGCTGTGTAGACAAAGGGTATGATCTGATACAGTAGACAAGGAGAGAAGCTGAGCGAGATCTTCCTGGTTTCTTTATGGCTCCTCTACATGGCATCGCTTGCTCCTGCATGTGGGTAGGACCCTTCAGGAAGGAGGAGCTTGTGATCTTCTGACACAGAGTGTAGATGCCCAGTTCTTGCATAGAAAGGAGAGGGACGGTTAGAATAATAGGAGATGTGATCAAAACATACAGTGAATGTTTAAATTAAAAGTAAATTACTACAACATAAGACACATTGCCATTAATCCTCAGGATACTCCTTGCTTTGGATGTATTTATTCCATCATTGTGCCACTTCCTGCAGAAGTTCTGTAAGTTTTCTTTAATGTGTTTACAAAATGTGATTTGAAAATACAGTTAATGCTGCTGCCAGATGCCATTCAAGGGGAATGCATGCTCGTAAAAACAGTAGAGGTGTCTTCATCCACTTTATTCACCACATCCAGCAAGTATGCATCTTGCAGTCCTTCTCCAAAGTCAAAGTGAATGTGAAAGATGAACCCTTCTGAGTTGCTTCAGGACATCAAGACAGCCATGACAATGACCTGAAAACATTGATGGAAGAGGACTCCCGGGACTTCAGCGGGAAGAACCATGGGATAAGTGTGCTGGAATGAAGTGAGGGGAAGGATTTTGAGGGAGATTGATGGCAATGTATCTTTTATTATAATTTTAAAAAAATTGAACATTCACTGTTGCTTTTGGTCATGCTGTGTATATTTAAGCATTATGGCTTGCTGTGGGGGAGAGGGTTGGGAAAGGGTTTCTAATTTCTGTTGCCTTGGGAAGAGGAATTCTGGTTTCTTTGACTCACTTTGAGGAGAATGAAGGATGAGTGACAGCAGGGTAGAAGATTAGAGAGAAGAGACCTTGGCTCTCAAGCTGGTTCTGAGGCCTTTAGTTGAAAGAACCCAGCATGGGGAATTGCTATGCTTTAGGGTGTTGTTGTTGTTGTTGTGTGTGTGTGTGTGTGTGTGTGTGTGTGTGTTGTTTTTTGGTTTTTTGGGGTTTGTTTTTTGAGACAAGGTTCTACTCTGTAGCTCAGGCTGGCCTTGAACTCATAGCAGTCCTTCTGCCTCAGCCTCCCAAGTGCTGGGATTACATGCGTGTACCACCACACCTGGCTAGGGTATTGTTTTCTGAACCCCAATACTTACCTGCAGATTATAATTACCTAGAAATCTTATGAAAAATTGTAAAGCTCAGGCCATACTTCACACCAGTCGTATTATAATTTTGGGAATAGGTATGGTATCAGTAGTTTTTGAAGCTTTCCAGTTGATACCAGATAAATTTGAGAATCATTGTTTTAAAGATCAGGAAACTGAAAGCTTTAAGAAACTTAAAAATATATGAAGATAAGGCCAGAGGATCAAATCTGCATTCCCATTTCCTTTTTAACTCTTCCCAGGTTCTTCTTCCCTGGTCTCAAAAGCATTTAGAGTTAAAATCCTACTTAAAACTCATTAAATATTTATCTGTATCTGCCAGGAAATTCTCTCAGCTACAAATTTTATCTCAGTCATATAGAACCATTACACTATTCATAAAAACAGTGGTGCAGTTTATTTTTGTATGAATATGTGTCTTATAAATAAAATGTGAAAAAATAATTACATGAAAGGTAAAAGACTTAGTTCTAATTTTATTATATGTGTGCAATGTCATACATTTAGGGAAATTTATCACACTGTATTTCTTAAAATACAGGGTTGTCATTTAAGTTATTTAGCAGTGAAACTCAATTTTACACTGTAGAGATTAAATGTTACATTTTCTGCTTGACAGAACACTTAGGAATCATTCAGCTGCAAAGAATTCTCAAACAATTAGAAATCCTGCAGTGGAACTTCAGGGACTTTAGATTTTCTTTTAGCTTTTTATGCTGTAAACTATAAGAAATTTATTTGGATACTGAGAAAACTGGAACTTAGTCACATATATAATACTATATTATATAATTATCTGCTTATAAATATTTCACAAAATTTCCAAGAGCTTATTCAGTAATGCGTGATAACATTGAAGAAGAAAATAAAATTTCAGTATCTCTAGCAATTTAAAAAGAAAGTAAAAATTATAATTAAAAGCTCATAAATATAAATTTCTTAAGTAAATTTTAAAGTGTGGCAGAGTATAGCACTCCAAAATACGTCATTTTGGCATTAGGATTATTTTGAGAAATTAATATACTTGTACACGTGTTAAATAACTAAGGTAGAAGGGCCTTGAGTGAAACAGTGACAATAATAGCAAAATTAAAACTAACGGTAAATTTATTTGGCTTATATGTGTATAGAGATGTCTTTTGAGTTATACAAATTCTAGAAGAGTTCAGGTGGAACTAGATGATTAAAAGGTGAAGTAAGAGACTTTATTGTCTATATTAAAGTGTTGTTGACAACCACATGGGAAAATTAGTTTTAAAATTACTTTTATTTTATGAAAAAATAAGGTTTCATAAAAATAATGAGAATAATAATAGTTAATACACTGTATCATTATCTTCAAAGTACAAGACATAGACAAATAAGATTCTCTCTTACACAGAAGAAACAAATAGGTAATAGCACAAAATTTCTCTGCAGTGAACTAAGAGAAACGAGTAGTATAGATCAGCCAAATCAGCATTTGCAGTCAAGGCTTAGATTGCGTGTAATGTGCTGTGCAAGTGTTCCACAAGACAGCATACATTTCTAGGAAATTTTAACTTGATAAAGAGCAATGTCTTGCAATGCAAATCGTACATTTTGCTTAACATCACAAGATCACAACTGGTTCCTCTCTCTCTGTCTCTGTTTTGATATACACATGCTTTGGATTATACACTATTACAAACTATTCTTGCAAATCAGCTTTTTACTGCATATTAAAATATTATTGAAAGAACAGAATAATTTGAAGAATTATGAGTACATTATTTGAACTTCTCCCTACTTCCTACTTAACTGTTTTCTATGTTGCTCTTTATTTCATATATATATATTTTTTTTTTCTCATATAAGAGAAACCATCCAATATTTAATCTGGTGTATTTAAGTTGTTTCACTTAGCATTATGCTTTCAAGTTACATCCATTTACCTATGAATGCCACAAGTTTATCTTTATAGCAGAGTTGTACTCTGTTGTGTACAAATACCATATTTCCTTATGCATTCATCTGTTGATAGACATACACTGTTTCCTAGATCTAGCTGTTACAAATTGTAAAATTTGTACAGTTTCCTATTCTGTAGAGTGTCTCTTCATTCTTTTGGTTGTTTCCTTTGCTAGGCAGAAGCTCTTTGATTTGATATGATTTCATTTGTTGATTCTTGGTGTCTTAATTACTTTTCTGTCCTTGCTGAGACTAAATACCCAACATCCAAAGTTAAATGGGAAAGTATTTATTTAGCTCAGTTTGTAGAGGTTTCAGTCCATGGTTGGCTGACTGAAAAGCAGAGTGGCACATGACAGAGGGACATCTCAGAGAACAGTTCATCGCACAGCAAAAGCAACAAGGGAATTTAACAGTGACTCTCTGCCCCTTTTATCTTATCCATACTACATAGGCTGGGTGGTACTCACACCCTTAATCCTAGGGTCCTTGATCTTAGCACCTTACCATAAATCAGTCACACACTCTAGATTCTGCTACCTCTGAAGGAGCCCCGCCTACAGCTGCATGAGGCTCTGGGGGACACCTAGATACAAGCCATAACACTTGGTATTATTTTTTGTAACATTAGGGTTCTGTTTAAAAAGTCATTGGCTATGCCTGTGGTTTCAAGATTTTTGCCTGCTTTATCTTACAGCAGATTGTTTCTGTTTTAACATTTAGACCTTTATCC